CAGCTTCTTATTTACTACACCCAATACTTCGCTCCCTGGAAAATTCCTGTGATTGCTGTTGCTACAGTCACCCTCCCTGTTCCTGGGGACTCTGTGTGTGTGTGTGTGTGTATAAAATAACACTGAGAACAGGTGACCCAATTCAAGTGTCGCAGCTTCATCAGTCCCAAGCCTGGCACAGAGCTGCGGCCCTCGCTGTGAATGTCGTGTTCCAATCAGACTTTTTATCACGGCCCTGCGGTGCAGTCGATGTTGCAGGGCTGAACATTCCTTTATGACCGCAAAGGGGTAAAAAAAAAAAAGAAATCAAACGATGTGAAACACATACCTACAAAGCATGATCTTTCTTTAGTGTGTTTTTTTAACGAAATAACATCCGTTTTACTTTCTAAGCCTGAACGGTTGACGTTGTGAACTACTCAGCAAGCATTCAAGTGTCAGTCTAAAATTTGGAATGGGAGCTGACTCACAACAGCCCTTTCCTTAAAGGCAGGCTTCTCCTCATGGCACCCTCTGCTAGCATGGTCGGTACAGCATCAGCTAGGTCATGGGCTTTGTCTGCAGTAGGTCTAGTTCTCTGGAATGGCCTACCAGCCAGCACTTAGATTCAGGTCCCTCTGAGCTGTTGAGTCCTGTGAGCAAAAATTCTACTTTGTGAGCTACTGGCATTAAACTTGTGAGCGAGCAATTTCACTGCTGCATCAATTCGTTTGCTCCGGAGCCATCCTTCCTGAGCGAAGACAAAAATGAGCGAGCCAGAGGCAAAAAAAACTGTGCGCTAGCTCACACTAACTCAGCTTAGAGGGAACACTGGCTGGGCAGCCGTGTTAGTCTGAAGCCACAGAACAAGGTCTGGGTCCAGTGGCACCTTTAAGATCCGCAGTCTAATTCTGGGTAAAAAGGTAAAGGTTCCCTTGCTCGAAAGCCAGTCGAATCCGACTCTAGGGTTGCGGTGCTCATCTCCGTTTCAAAGCCGAAGAGCCAGCGCTGTCCGAAGACGTTTCCGTGGTCATGTGGCCGGCATGACTAAACACCAAGGCCAAGGTCTGGGTCTAGTGGCACCTTTGAGATCCGCAAAGTCTAATTCTGGGTAGAAGCTTTCATATACAGGCACACTTCTTCAGACAGACTCAGGTGGGTAGCTGCATTGGTCTGAAGCCACAGAACAAAGTCTGAGTCCAGTGACACCTTTAAGACCAACAGAGTTTAATTCTGGGTATCAGCTTCCATGTGTGGGTATGCTGTGATCTAATTAACTGTTCATAACTTCGGTTTTATAATATTTTACTCTATTTTATATAATTATGTTTTATAGTATTTTTCTCTGTTTTTGGATTGTAATGGCCTATGGCTAAATACAGTAAAACCCTCCTCTAATAGGTTGCCTTAATGGCTTAAAGGTTTAAACTGAATGTAACTACTGGTTGATTAGTACATGTGTTTACTGAATGCTGTGCCCTGCCCTGAGCCCTGGTTCTTTAATTGGGGGGGTGGCAGGTGCTTCCGGGCTGGTTTGTGAGGTTTCGAAAGAGGCAGGGGAACAGCATAAGACCTGGGTAGAGTATCATATCATTTTTATTTGGCAGTATCATATCATTTTTATTTGGCGTACATACAGGAAAGGTAGCAGTCGGCGTGACGGGACCCCGTTCGTTCGCAGTCAGAGTTTGTTGCTGGGTGTGCCGTTTGGTCAGGGTCCAAGGTTACTGGACAGGTCCTCCTCGCTGACCAGCCCTCGCACAGCAGCATGTAAAGGGCACGGTACAAGGAAGCCCCGGAGCCTTGCCGAGGGGGCCTGGGTTCCAGAAGGGGGAGGAGCTCGCCTTCCAGGGCCTGGGCAAAAAGAAAGCAGAGTTCAGTGCCGGGAAAGCCACCTGCGTCGGAAGGAGCTAGACAAGGAGAAGGCCCCAAAAGGCTGGAGAGGGAAGCCATAGATTTGTCAGACTTCCCACAGCATCAACGAAGTACACACTTGTAGAAAGGTTTTACTTTATTTGAAGCTATAGGTGCATGGACAGGATCACTGTTCAGAATGAGGGGGTTTCAAAGAGCATGGCATGTTATAGTACATTCAAACTACTGAGGCCCAATTATGGGGGTTCCCGTGCGTGCCATCGGGCCCTGGGAGCAAATGCTTCTAGGCAGCATATGTTATCTCTTTCCCACGGTGTTTCGTGAGAGCCTCCAGCAACTAACCCGCAGCGGCAACCACCTGTGGCCTTGGGAGATATAGACGTTTCGGCAGGCCAAGCAATTATGCGCATCAACAGTTATGCATGTGAAAGTGAAAGCAAACAAGCGCACACAGAAAGAAGGGAAAAAAACATTGGCAGCTTGCTGACAAGATTACAGCACAGTCTGATAGGCCGAGCCCTGACTTGGATGCATCTTGTCAGAGCTTGGAAGCCAAGCACGGTCAGCCCTGGTACGGATTTGGACGGGAGACCACCGGTGAAGCCCAGGGCCACCTCGCAGAGGGAGGGCAATGGCAAACCACCGCTGAACATCTCTTGGAAACCCCCATGGGGTCGCTGGAAGTCAGCTGCGACTCAGCGGCACTTCCCACCACCATCGCAGCCCAAGTCTCCAGGATGCCCGCCGGCCCCGGGATGCTCTTGGTGGCCAGCAGGCTCTGGACCAGGGGGTGGGGGAGGTGGTGGTCTGGGATCTACCACATGTGACCCCTGGAAGAAGGAAGAGGAAATCTCTGAGTGAAGATCCATTCGAAGGGGTAGGTGGGAGCCGGGATGACTTGCAGGCGACGGGAATGGCAGGCAAAGATTTTTACGGGCTTCTTCAAGACGCTTCACAAAAAGGGGAAAGGAGAGAAACGTACAGTTGCCAGGGATCCAGCAGTGATCCATGCAGAGATTTATGCCAGAGTACTAAAGCAATCACGCAGGGTGTTCTTGTACATTTCTACTTCTTTCACAGTAAGCGGGAAGCAGGCCACTTCCTAATAAAGGATTCTTAACAGCTGGTGTTTGAGCTGCAGAAACGTTAGGGATTCTGAGTCAACAGGTATCGGTAAATGCTAAATTCCATCATTTCAGACACGCCAGCGGGCTTTCTCCTGCTGTTAGTGTTGACGTCGCTTGGCTCTCTAATGACAGTAGGGTGCTGATCCCTGCTCTGGATAGAGTCTTCTTTATGATACAGGATGTCTGGAAGCAGGCAGGAAAGTGTGTCTGAATGCCTGAGGGTATCTCGTGTTTTTAAGGAGCACCTTCCCACAAGGCTTAGCTACCTCCCCAGCGAGTAAGTTTTTGAGCTGGACTTTCAGGGTGGGGAGCTTTCAAACAAGAAACCTGGATACACACACACACACACACACACATACACACACACTGTCTCTCTCTGCATGATATAAGGGCAGGGCTATTTTTGGGCAGGAACGCACAGGAATGGAGTTCCGGCTGGCTCCCAAGTTGGCCACGCCCAGCAAGAACTCATTAGCATAACAGGCCACACCCAACAGCAGAAACTCATTAGGATTGGCTACAGATTTGTCTTTTGTTTCACTGTCTCTATTGCAAACTTCAGCACAGAAAGTTTGCAGCAAGGTGGCAAATACGTCAACCGATCCGCACGCTGGGGCACGACTTCTTGATTGTCTCCAGCGCACAAAACAGGGGCTGCGTGGGTTAATTTAAAAGCAGCCTCCCCACAAGAGAAGAAGAAGAGTAGATTTATACCCTGCCCTTCACTACCCAAAGGTGTCTCAGAGTGGCTCACAAACTCCTTTCCCATTCCTCTCCCCATAACAGACACCCTGTGAGGGAGGTGGGGCTGAGAGAGCTCTTGACAGAAACTGCTGTTTTTCAAGAACAGCTGTGCCAGAGTTATGGCTTGCCCAAGGTCATCCAGCCAGGTGCAAGTGGAGGAGTGGGGAATCAAACCCGGTTCTCCCAGATTAGAGTCCGCGCACTTAACCACCACACCAAACTGGCTCACTACACTACACTCACTACAAACTGCCTCATTACACCAAACTGGCATAACAGACACCCTGTGAGGCAGGGGTCATTTAGTAGAAAAAGAGCTAGGGGAACTCATTAGCATAACTCATTAGCATATGCCACACCCCCTGACATCAGGGGCCCGGCGATCCTGCTGGGCTTTTTCTACAAAAAGAGCCCTGGAAGTGACATGATGCGTCTTCTTTTCCCAAAGGGAAACAAGGTCTCGTTGGTCCCTGGAATGCTGTGGACACATGAAGCTGCCTTACACTGAATCAGGCCCTCTTGGTCCCTCAAGGTCAGCCTTGTCTACTCAGACTGGCAGCGGCTCTCCAGGGTCTCAGGCTGAGGTTGTTCCCATCACCTCCTGCCTGGTCCTTTTAGCTAGACATGCCAGGGATTGAACCCCTAACAGCTCCACTTGCTTGGAGTTCATATTCGGGACACCTGCAACCTTTGTGTGATTTTTGGTTTCTCAAAGACATCTGGTTAGCCACTGTAGAAAATGGAATGCTGAACTAGATGGGTGCCAATATCATTGTTTGTCTAGAGTACCAAACAAACAAACAAAAACCTTGGGCCAGACCTGGATGGGTCACCATATCAAGTAAATTTGGACTTGTGGGTCACCATACTGAAAAGGCTGAGAACCATTGATTCTTGAGGGCCAGTCGGGTGTAGTGGTTAAGTGTGTGGACTCTAATCTGGGAGAACCGGGTTTGATTCCCCACTCCTCCACTTGCACCTGTTGGATGACCTTGGGCAAGCCATAGTTCTGTTGGAGCTGTTCCTGAAAAAGAGCCGTTTCTGTCAGAGCTCTCTCAGCCCCACCTACCTCACAGGGTGTCTTGTTGTGGGGAGGGGAAGGGAAAGGTGTAAGCCGCTCTGAGACTCCCTTGGGTAGTGAAGGGCAGGGTATAAATCCAATCTCTTCTTCTTCTTCTTCCACGCAGGATTATGCATGAAACAAGCCAGCAGTGCCGCATCAGGGAGCACAGGCCAGAATCTCTCTTTACTCCAGATCGCCCCCCCCGCCCCCCAATTTCAGTGAGCCACAATCAATGTCTACTGGCTGTCTTCATACAGGAGGAGATCACGTACAAAGGGGCAAGCATCAGCTTCTGAATTTGGAAGCTGTGTTTTGCATTCTAGGCCAAGACGGCCTATATGATGCCCCAGCCCACCAACCGAAGGCAAGTGCCCCCAACTCAGGCATGGGCGTAGGGTAACCGCTCGAGTTGGTGGTACACCAAAAAACTTTCTGTTGCGCTGTGGCTCTTTAAAAAAGGGAGGTGGAGAGCTCCTTAGGAAGAGGTGCCTGTGTGCCTACACTTCCTGATTTGGGGTCCCATCAAAGAGAGGAAGGTTGCGGTCAGGGGCACAGTCCAGCTGAAAAGCATGCAAATGAACACAAAGACAAATACAGGAGTAACACACAGCCAGTGTTCCCTCTAAGGTGAGTTAGTGTGAGCTAGCTCACAGTTTTTTAGCCTCTGGCTCACACATTTTTGTCTTAGCTCAGGAAGGACGGCTCCAGAGCAAACTAATTGATGCAGTAGCCAAATCACTTGCTCACAACTTTAATGCCAGTCATTCACAAAGTAGAATTTTTGCTCACAAGACTCCACAGCTTAGAGGGAACATTGCACACAGCCCTCGGTTTCCAAGGAAAATTTCAGTAGCGTAAAGCCGCATGCTGCAGCAGATAGGGCCAGTGGCGATCGCAGCACGTGCTGTAAAACCTTGAAGTACCACTCCAACACTTAAAAGTAATTTTTTTAAAAAAAATGAAGCATTTGTTATGCAGCATGAACCGGTCGTTCCTACACAGCACTTCACAATGCAGATTTGTTTTTTGTTTCACTGTCTCTATTGCAAACTTCAGCACAGAAAGTTTGCAGCGAGGTGGCAAATACGTCAACCGATCCACACGCTGGGGCACGACTTCTTGATTGTCTCCAGCGCACAAAACAGGGGCTGCGTGGGTTAATTTAAAAGCAGCCTCTGTGTGCAGACAGGCCTTCAGAAGCCCAGTGGCGTCCTCACAATCCAGCCCACTTCCAATGATTTATTTGAACAATGCGCAATCAACATTTTCAAGGATGGTGGTCACCACAGGGCAGTTGTGCGCTTTGATGGAAATACATGCTATGAAAAGGACAAGCAAATTGGGGGGAAATGTCTAGTATTATGCAGGAGCAGAAAAACTGGAAGTACATGGATCAATGTGCACAAGACAAGGGTATAAGGCAGGGGTGTCAAACATACGGCCCACGGGCCAGAACCGGCCCGTCCAGGGCTATTGTCTAGCCCGCAAGCAACTGGTCATTACTTTTATTGACAGATGACAGAGGCTGCGCGTGATGTTCCTGTGTACTGTGATGAGTAATGGGCGGTGGAAGTGGGAGGGTGGGCATCAGGGAGATACTTTAAGGAAATCCTAAAAAGGTAAAGGTTCCCTTGCTCGAAAGCCAGTTGAGTCCGACTCTAGGGTTGCGGTGCTCATCTCCGTTTCAAAGCCGAAGAGCCAGCGCTGTCCGAAGACATTTCCGTGGTCATGTGGCCGGCATGACTAATCAGCAAGGTGCACGGGACGCTGTTACCTTCCCACCAAAGTGGTACCTATTTATCTACTTGCAATTTCTTGCTTTCGAACTGCTAGGCTGGCAGGAGAAGGAAATCCTATAAGAGTGCTAATGTTTTAAGCATGTTTGTTTTTTGAGTAAAAATAATATTATTAGTGGGTTTGCCTGTGTCCTCTATAAAGTTTATATCTCCCGAACCTGGCATTACAATTTATGGCATACATGGCCTGGCCCGACAAAGTGACATTTCTGTCAGATCCGGCCCTCATAACAAATGAGTTCGACACCTCTGGTATAAGGGGGGAAAAACCCACAGCATTCAGCAAGATGTCTATAGTTAGCCATCTTGCACTTCCCTGCCTGGCCTGGTCGCTGGGGCATCGTGTACCAGCTAACGGAACAAGAATCAAGTCCCTAGTTCAAGTCTTGCCAACTTAGTGTTCCAAAGTGAGCCTTCTTCACCTCAGCCTCCCCATACAATATGGCAACCTGTATGGCACCCCAAAGAGGACAGACAAAAGTACCTCTTCACTCAAAAACCAATCAGCTTGTGGAACTCACTGCCTTAGGGTGTAGTGATAGCCATTAAGCTGAGCTGGCTTTAAAAAGGGATCAGGCAAATAGAAGAAGAGAAAGAGGATGATGACGAGGAAGAGATTGGATTTATATGCCGCCCTTCACTACCCGAAGGAGTCTCAGAGTGACTTACAATCCCTTTCTTTTCCCCTCCCCACAAGAGAAGAAGAAGAGAAGAGATTGGATTTATACCCCGCCCTTCACTACCCAAAGGTGTCTCAGAGCGGCTTACAAACTCCTTTCCCTTCCCCTCCCCACAACAGACACCCTGTGAGGTAGGTGGGGCTGAGAGAACTCTTGACAGACTTTCAGGAACAGCTGTGCCAGAGCTTGTGACTGACCCAAGGTCACATCAGCAGGTGCAAGTGGAGGAGTGGGGAATCAAACC